TTCTTATGGAGGTCATTTTAATGATACAAGAACGACAATGAAAGTCCTCCAATCGTTCTTTTATTGACCTTCTTTGTTCAAAGATGCGCATGCGCATACTAAAAGTTGTGACAAATGCCAAAGGAATGGTGAAATTTCACAAAGGAATGAAATGTCGTTGCAAAATATGTTGGAACTCGAAGTATTTGACTGTTGGGGCATAGATTTTGTTGGGCCATTTCCATCGTCTTTTGGTAATGAATACATTTTGGTTGCGGTTGATTACGTTTCAAAATGGGTTGAAGCAATAGCAAGTGCTAAGGCTAACAGAAAAACCGTGACAAAATTTTTGAAGAAAATTATTTTCTCTCGATTTGGTACTCCGCGAGTGTTAATAAGTGATGAAGGATCCCACTTTTGCAACACTCAGCTGGAAAAAGCATTGGAACATTACGGTGTTAAGCACAAAGTTGCAACACCTTACCACCCACAAGCTAATGGGCAAGCCGAAGTATCAAATCGAGAAATAAATAAATAATTGAAAAAAATTGTGTCTGCTTTCAGAAAAGATTGGTCAAGTTAGACGGTGTTTTATGGGCTTATCGGACGACTTTTAAGGCTCCGATTGGTCTCACTCCTTTTAAGATGGTATATGGTAAGAACTGTCACTTTCCGATAGAGTTGGAACACAAGGCCTTTTGGGTGTTAAAATTGTTGAATTTTGATCAAAAGCCAAGTGGTGAGAAGAGGAAAATCTAATTTCATGAATTGGAGGAATTGCGCTTGCAAGCGTATGAATCCAACAAAGTTTACAAAGATCGGGTGAAGGGTTATCATGATAAGAAAATCGTGGCCAAGAAATTTGAAGTAGGACAAATGGTGTTTCTATTTAACTCTCGGTTGAAATTGTTTCCAGGGAAGCTGAAATCAAAATGGTCGGGTCCGTTCCAGATTCAATACATTATGAATTTTGGAGCAATCACTATTGAAGATGTGCAGTCCAAAGAGAGTTGGATAGTGAATGGCCAAATACCGGAGATTTATTTTGGCGGGGGGGGGGGGGGGGGGGTGATTTCGAGAAAAACACTACCTTCGTGCCTCTGTGCGATCCTTGATCACATTGGACCGCCGAGCTCCAACGACGTTAAACAAAGCGCTTGTTGGGAGGCACGCCAACATTGTAAGTATTTATATTTTTCTGTTTTTACTTAATGTTTGTTTGTGCAAAAGATGTGGTAGAAAGAGTTGGAAATAAGAAGAACTTCTTTTTAGAAAATCTGTCATGTTCGTTGTGCGAACTTCTTCGCTAGCAAACTCGCAGTGTGAGTAAGGCAAAACAGGATTATTTTTTCTGCCACATCAGTTATGTTTTGGCTATTGGGCCAACTTTTTGGGCCCACCCACTTGCTACTCTGAACTTTCTCTTGAGGGGTTAACATTTCCCCCTCCTTCACTTTCAAAATTCTGTCTCTCACTTGCACTTATTCTCACACTTGCTCTCACACAACAACAAGTGCACCCAAATTCTCTGTGAAAATCTCTCACCATTCAACAGTCCAGGTTTGCATATTATTCTTTCATCTAAATTTATTCTGTTTTGGATTGTTGTTAGGGTTGAGAATGCAACTTCAAGTAGTTGATTAGGGTTGAGTTGTCATTGTTAAAAATTTGTTGCATGTTGTTGTTAATAGTTCAAAATCGTGACCCATATCCTGATTCTTCTGTGATTGCATGCAAAAATGGGGTACAGTTCATTTTGAAACAAAACAAGGTTTGAAATATGAAATTCGCTGAGAAGTTCGCACTGCGAACCTGGGGAGATTTTTCGCCAGGCCTTCGCACGGCGAAGCTTCCAGCGAACATGACATATTTTTTCTTTGTTATTTTACTGATACAGAGGGCTTGTTATGCTTTCTTGTTTGTTTTTCTGGACTAATCTTTTGTGTATGCGATTCTGTTTGTCTATTTTGTATATGCAAATGGCTTCAAAAATTGTTGCCTCCAAGAAAAGAAAGATTGGAAGCACCTCATGTCCTCAGCCGATTCAATATAACAGTGACTGGTTCGTAGGACCTAAGCAGGCCGCACGGTATGTTTCTTTGGAAAAGAGAAAAATTCTGCCAAAAAAGCGGTTCATCATCAATCCGGAAGGATCCTACAAAGCTGTCGTTGGAATCATTCATAGCAAGAGGTGGGATGTTTTGGTGACACGTACAGGTAGCTACAACACTAAAGTTGTGAGGGAATTATATGACAATGCTCTTCCAAATGATGACGAGCCATTCACGTGGACAACAAGAGTGTTGGGCAGAGAGGTAAGCTTTGATCGAGACACCATTAACAGAGTTCTTAGAAGGCCATTGAACCTAGGAGAAGATGAAATTGATGATTATCATAGGGAGCTAAGGCTTTATAGAGATATGGACTTTATCTCTGAGGCTCTGCTGATGGAAGGGAAAACAGTTGAATTGAACCCATCTGGGGTTCCAAGGCATTACCACTGTGAGGATATGAAACCGTTACCTCAGTTGGTGCTTCTATTGGTTTTGACAAATATAAAACCAAAGTCGCACGCTTCTACTATGCTGATCCCAGTGGCACACTTGGTTCACTGCATTCTCACAAATGTTCAGATTTATGTTGCTAGGATCATCGCAGATGAAATGAAATTTATGGTGGAGAGTGGTTCGAAGGTCGGGGCTTGCATTAATTTCCCCCTTGCCTTCTCATGTCTTATCATGACTTTATGTGTCCATGCAAGGGTTAAGCTACCCTCGCATAGGAAAGTGATGATCCCAAATGCTATTGATGATCGATATGTGGATAAGTATTGTCGTCCCAAATGTATGAAAGGAAGTTCCTCTACTGCAACTGCTTTTGATGTCGGGATTACTGAAGGCCCCCGGGTCACATTCTCTCAGGGTTTTGATCCATTCCAGCAAGTTGTATGTAACTATAATTGGGATTGGATGGCGGTCACACAGCACGCCATGATTGACATTCATGAATCTATGCAGGTACTCCAGTTGCAGTGTCGAGATCCCTCCGTTGCGCAAAACATGATGACTAGGGAGCAATTCCTAGCCCATGCGAGTTGGCCTGAGGTCAGGCCTACATTTGGAGAGGGGGTGGGTACTTCTGGCCCTGATGATAATGGTGCTGGTGTAGGTGATGGTGATGATGCTGAAGAATCTGATGATGGTGATGTGTCTGGTTCAGATAAAGGTTCAGAGAGTGTGGAGGCTACAGAGTCCGATGAGGACTGATTTTATTTATGTTTATGTTTTTTGGGCATGATCCTAAGCAACTTCCTTTGGTCTTCAAAGTGAAGTATTCTTGTGCTTAGATAATTGCTTTTATTATTATTATTATTATTATTATTATTATTATTATTATTATTATTATTATTATTATTATTATTATTATTATTATTATTATTATTATTATTATTGTACTTTGTTTTGGATAATGTTGATGTACTATTTTGGAATATTTTTACACCTAATCACATTTCTATTTAGTATTATTAATATTAATCAGTTTTTATGTTAAAAGTATTGTTTTTATTGTGTAGTGTAAATGTGCGTAAAAAATTTCAAGTGGTATTTAATGTTTCTCATGCTGTTGGGCTCTAATTGAACTTCTAGATTGGTTGTTATCTGTAAAGAAGTATCCAACGAAGATTCGTCAAAGTTTGGATAGAGATGATAATATTAAACAAGTGAATAATGTCAAGGTACATGGTTACCTTTGTTTAGTCTTTATGCAAATAAAATTTGTTCTTTTAGCAATTTAATGACCATTGTTTACTAAATACTGGATTTCTAATAGATTTGTTTGATTCATGTTTTATCTTGTTATTATTGTGAATTTTTGGAAGCATTAGAAATGATCAAGGCATTTGTTTACATTGAGCACAACTATGTCCAAATGTAACTTACTCGTGAGTAGAGAGAATTCGTTAACCCTCCTTTGAGCCTAAAGAGTGTGAATCTCATTCTAAATTTTGTGAGATTCTAAATTTTTTTCTTGAACCCTTGAATTTGTTTTAATTGTCTTTTTTAGCATAAAAAGCAAAGAGCATTCACTTGAGGGTTTGGTAAAAATTAAGTTGGGGAGAATAGGTCGCATATTTTCTTCTTTTCACCCACGATGTTGTGTGACAATATGAGTGTAGTTAATCTCTCTCACAATCTAATTCTTCATGGCCACACAAAACATGTTGAATTGGACATGTGGCATCCATTTTATAAGAGAACATGTGGCCTCCAAAGAGCTAGCTATTCAACATGTTCCAACTTCCTTTCACCATAAATTTCAATGACTTGCATGCCAAAGTTTAAAGTTTAAAGTTGGCCTTCCACCACCCTAAGCTTGACGGGGATTATTACAAGTATTAGTTTAAGATGTTTGTTACACTTAAACTGTATTACTAAAAAGGTTATTAGAGTTAGTTAGAAGTGAAGTTAATAAGAGTTTGTTAGAACTCAACCAACTTCAACCATCTCTCTATATATAATTCTCTGCCATTATTGTGCAACAAGCTAAGCTTGGAATGAATAACGAATGAGAATCACACATTCAATTCATCAAAGTTATCAAACAATTTTAAGATAAGCCAACCTAACCAAAATTACTTTGACCTGCTTTTTATGTATCAGAACCAAATTCAACTTTGAATAGCTCGAGCATAATTAAATCAACATTTCTACTAAGTTCGCCCTTAATTTGTAATGAAACTTGGATATCTCAAAATGTAATGTGAATTATATGATGTTTTACAAAAGAAAGCTTGGACTGAACACTCTGCATCAGTTTTACACAAAGCCGCATCTAATTCTAACACACAGTTAGCATGTATCTTAATGATTTCATCTAATAATACAAAATGTTAGAAATTTTAAACCCAAAATTAAAAAACCCCAAAAATTGTTGTCCAACGGGGACAACTAGTTGCTATATTCTAACGTCAATGAACAAGAACAAGTAGCTAAGGCCTTTGTAATACATCTTTCTTTTTATCAATGATGCTGTGAAGAATTACCAACTGGGAGAGCAATGGATGAATCAAACATTGAAGGAATGGTTGGAGAACAAATATCCTTAAGCTTATTGTACCTTTCAATATCAAATTTGTAAGCCTTGATAAGACGCTTTTGCTTCGAGCTGAAACGGGCTTCATAGAAACCTTCGAATGAAGGCTCTCTTGCGGTCCTGAGAAAGAATGTGTAACCAGCCATGAAGTACATGGATGTTAAATAAAAGCAAATTGGTTCCATTACATCCCAAGTCAGCTCCCAAAATGTGAGTCTCATGAATCCCACAGTTTGTACAATGAGGAAACCCAAACCTCCCCAGAGCTCGCGGCGTACTAAAGCACTGGCTTTGTTGTCAATGGCTAGTTTCTTCTTCTCCATTTCTTCATATTCTTTTCTTATTGAATCCGGTACCTTTGATCCTGGTGTAGGAAGCAGACTTTGGATTGTTTTTGCAACCTGTACCACAAAATTTTACAGAATTTGGGTAAATTTTATCTGTCTTTTATTTTCCTTTCTACTTTTGGTTTTTCCTATAGCAATTCTACCTACCTATAAGGAACATATGAGAACAAAACAATTAAACTCTAAACACCAAACCCGTAACCCGCCAAAACCTCACCATACGAGCCACTTTGCGGCGCTGTTATAATAAATTATGGCAGAAAATCCACTATATCGGCTAACATTTATAATTGCGGAAATTTCCAAAACCACCGCGTATAACCGTCATGGCATATATTTGATAACGCTGCTCGATTGAATCTAAGACCCTAACTTTCAATTAAGGGTGGTACAACATTCTAATCCTATTCTAATACTAATTGTATAATTTCTAATCCTAATTGAACTAAACTATGAAAAAACTCTAAAAAAAAAAAAACTTAATTTTCTAATAGTGAAGCCCTTGTGAATAATTATAAAATCGAGTGCATAATATGTGAGAATGAAAGTTCTTGCGAGCAATCCTTTAAAGCTCAATTTTACCATCCTCCTGTAACACTTTTGTGAAACAACAAAGTTTCAATTTCCTGTGGGAAATAATCATAAAAAGATTATCAGTTTTCGGTATTTTCCAATCCAAATGAATGAAAATGAACCCATCTTTTATTCCACCGTTCCACCTAACCCATAGATTAAAACACAACCCAAGTAATAATAAAAACAAAAACAAAAAACACCTGAATTGAAATTTTTTAATAAAATAAAATAAAATAGCTCAGAATTGAATAAACAGAAATTAAGAAATTAAGAATTTACCTGCTCCGGTTGCAGAAAAACTGTATCTCCTAGAATAATCACAGCCGCAGAATCATCCAGCATCTTTGCAATCTTAACCGCTTGATCATAATCCGAGCAATATTCGGAACAGATCCTAACTAACTCAGAAACCGTTATGCAACTTTTCGCGGAACCTCTCAACCTCGCTTTCACCGACTCCAACTGCGCCACTTTCAACAACTTCTTCACGTCACCGGCGCTAACACCGTCCACTTCCGTTTTCTCCGGTAGAGGCTTCAGCCCGCCCAACCGAATACGATTCCGAGCAATGTCCATCTCTCTCAGCTTATCCACTATGTTCCTCCCATTCATCTGATTCTGACGAAGCTCCGATTTCAACCCGGTCTGTTTCGGTTCAAACCCGGTCCGTTTGTGAATAAACCTCCTGAATATTCCACCTTCTCCCTTCTCCGGAGAAACATCCAAGTCGCTCACCGCCGTTGTAGGACGAACGGAGGAAGACGAAATACGACAATTCGTGAAATTTTGCGATGAGATTTTGGTGATATTAAAGAGACGTTGAGCAAGGGTTTTTTTGAAAGCCATTGATGGAAGAAAAGAAAAGAAAAAAATCGAATGAGAATGAGAATGAAATTGAAGAAAGTGATGGGTAACAGAAACAATATTTATAGGTCACGAGGAATAAACACACGTGAGAATTTCAATTTATCGTGAAAAAATCGGACACGTGGAGGAATAACGAGCGTTGGATTTCACAAAACGTTGGTGCTGACTCAACGTTGCATAAACGGATAAGATAAAAATAAAATTAGAAAAGTGAATTTAGGGTTGTTAAGAATTAAAATAGCGTGTGAGGAGAAGAAAGCGAGAAAATGGGAGTTGATGCGGCTACTGGATGCTGCGTGTACGCAAAACGTGTCGCCACATACACCTTGTGGAAACTAGGGTTTATTCGCTGCCATACATGGAAATTTTGGAATGTGCTTTTTTTAACAAAAATATAAATTAGGAATAATAATAAACGATAATCTAAAATATATAATACCACGTTGATTAAATGCTATATTCAGAGGATAGCTCTTTATTTTATGCAGATACGTTGAATATTTTATTATAATATTACATTATTTTTGGAATTTGTTTTTAAATTTCAATTTGATGAGATGTGGTTAAATGCATGTATAATTTACTATGTACAAATAAAAAAAAAAAAAAAAAATATATATATATATATATATATATATATATATATATATATATATATATATATATATATATATATATATATATTAAATTTCTAGAATTTTCTATTCTAATGTTTTAAAAACTAGTTCACATTGGTCGGTTAATAGATCGGATTGAAATTAAAATAGTAATTAATTTAAATTAGTTATTAAATCGGTCATATAATCAAATTGATAATAACCTACACAAATGGACAAAGAAAACTTACGAGTGAGATTTTTTTACCAATCAAATAAGTTTGCACACTTATTTTATTTTTTAAGTTAAAGTGACACTTTTAATGATTTAATAAAAAATAATTATATAACTTAAAAATAAAACTAAAATTTAGAAAATAATAAATAAAATAAAAATGATATAAATAAATTTTTTATCTTTATTTATGAAAAATCAATTTTGTTTAAGATATTTTAAATTTTTTAAGTATAATTGTATTTTCCAGAAATTTTTAAGATCGAAATATTTGATTCTACCTAAATTAATAATATACAATTTTGTTATTGATTAAATTATATAATTGAATCATATGATTTTATCTAATTTGATTTAGTTATACAATTAAAGTTTTTTTTAGTTTGACCACCCCTTTATTATGTCATTTGTCCAATTTTTAAACATTGCTCTATCGAAAATAAAATGTAATCAACATGATTCAAATTATTTTAATGAATCTGGTCCAAATGTTAGATCTAATACATTTAATTAGTTCTATTTAAAATTTATTGTAACATATTCTATTTAAAAAGATAGTTGTATTTTTTATGGAATTAAGTTTGGTTTACTATCAACGTAGATTTTATACATTATCTATCAATGACAAGTCATCCTCTATACATATATGAATTTAAATGTTTATTTAAGTATTGTTAAGATTTTTAATAAATCTACAATTATATATTGAATATATATTTATATTATTATTATACTCTAATTATTAAATCAATATGTATTAAAGTTAAAATCAATTTAATTTAACGACAACTACCACCTTTATAAATGAAAATTAATAGTGAAATGATAATGGACATAGTTTAGGTAGGATATTATAGTATCAGTTTCTCGAATTCGAGTTAAAAAAAATTTCGTAGTTAAGATCATATTTGCATGGATATCAATATTTATACATGTATCGTATCTTATGAATAACTAAATACTCATACTCATATTCGTTTATCTGTATCTTTAATAAATAAAAAATTGATCAATTATAATTTATCATGTCATTTTAATTTTGTAATAACATTTATAAAAAAATTGAAGATGTTATTGTTGAGATAAGAAATAAACAAGTATTTATATTAAAATTCATAAAAATTTATTAGTGATGTATTCAATAAAAAATTTAAATTAACACGTGCACATAATAAAAAAATAAATATAAATAAATATATATAGTATGAGTATAAGGCGGGTTAAACATTAAGGTACTAGAATATCTGTGCTCTAGATTTTATTCTCCCATTATAAATTAATTTTATAGATCGATATCCACTAAAAATGAATATAATTGTCATCCCTAAAAATTAACATCTAAGAAAGAAAACACAAAATAAGAACATCTTAAAAAAAGTGATATGTTTAATTATTTTTAGAGTTAAATTGATTTTTTCTTTTAAAAATAATTCTACTTAAAATTTAAAATGTAACATTAACTTTAAAATTTAGTTTATATTTAAATTTAAGAAAATGTTAACGAGTGTTATAGAGATGTTTTTTAAAAGACTTTAAAAAGTAAGTTTTTTAAAAAAATGTGTAATTAATACATTAGAAATTAAAATCATTAATTTTATTAAAAAATATTTTATTTATTTAGAATGCTTAAAGAATATTCTTATAACACTTTTAACATAATCCTTAAATTTATTATTTAACTCATATTTTATAAATACATTCAAACATAATTTTTTATATAATATAAATTATTTTATATTCAATTTATTTTTGAAAAAAATTAATTTTATAAAATCAATTTATACAAAATCAATTTTCAACACCATTCAACCAAATTGACTAGAAAAATTCCTTAATTCAAAGCACTTATTTTTGGGACGGTGATTTGATAAAGAATTTCATGGCTCGCACTATCATATCAACATAAACGTATATACGGTCACTTACGTTGACAATAGTATTGAAATTTCTTTTACCCAGAAATATTTAAAATGTATGTCAAACAAATTAAATAAAATTAATATTAAAAGACGCTCAATCTTGTAGAGATTAATATATAATATTATTTTTTTTACTATAAATATTAGTTAAATGTAATATGACCATATATTAATAAAAAAAACTATAAATTATAAATTAATAACAAAATCAAAAACACAAAAAAAAGTTAAATATTATTGGATGAGTTTAGGTGTTGTTTTTGAAAATCGTTATGTTTTTATCAAATTTTAAATTAATTTTTTAAAATTGATCATAATCAAACTGAACCATATACACATATTTTTATATTTATTTATTTAGATATGGTTTATTCAATGATACTTATTTTTAAATATTATTTATTAATTTAATTTGATCTATTTATTTTTAGAGGGAATATCCATTTGATCCCTCAAAAAAACTACATAATCCAAATTAAATTTCAATTAAAATGAATAAGTTTAATCCCTTAAAAAATTTAACCATGTCATATTAGTTAGTAGTCACTCTCTTAATTTTTTTATTTTATTTTTAAACTATGACTAAATTGTCATGTGTATTATTTATGTCATATATATTTTATAATAATTATGTGGATGACCAAGTTGAATTTTATTATTTGTTTTTTATTTTTTAAAAACTAAATTGGTTTTAATATTATTTTTAAACCATTCAAATTTGAAAATATAAAAAAAATCATTTCAATATTATTTTTAATAATTCATAATAAATATTTATTTATTTACTTCAAATAATACACAAATAAATATTTATTTATTTCAATTAATATTTTTTTGTATTATTTAAAATAATTAAATATTTTTTTTAAAATTCAAATTATTTAATATTATTAGAAATGATTTGTCACCCATTTACATTGGTTTAACGGTAAAGGCATACGAAATGGTTTAAAAGTCCTTGGGTTTGATTATTTCCAAGAATAAATTTTGAGTTTTTATTTTTATTTTTATTTTCAAATCAGAATTGTTTAAAAATAGAATTGAAATTAAATATCAAAATTAATTTAATATTTAAAAAATGAAAAATAAAATAAAAAATACAACTTGGTTATCCATGTAACTATTAAAAAATGAATATGTCATAAATAATACATACAGCAGTATATTGATAGTTTAAAAGTATGAAAAAGAATCAGTTTAAAAAAAAATATTAACAAAATAACTAATAGGGTCAAGTTAAATTTTGTAAGAGACTAAAATAGAATCTTTTTTCTCAGGGAGTAATTCGAATTTTGCAAATTTTGTGAAGAATCAAAATGAATATTCACTTATTTTTATTATTTTATTTATTTCAATTACAGTCGATCATTTTTATTTTATATTTTAAATTTTAATATATTATATATTATACCAAACATATTATTTATTAGTGTTTTTATAATATTAATGAAAAATATAATTTGTAATTTGTATGTTTAAAAACCGATCCAAATTAAACTATATTAAATTGGATAGGATCAAATTGAATTTTTTTAACATATCTTTTAAAATTGAACCGATTTGTGAATAAATTTATCTTTGAATTAAATGAATTTTTAGCACAAAACCGATTCAAATTACACCACAAACACCTCTAAACAATGATAAATTCAAAAAAAAAATTCAAAAATCTTTAATGTTTCTCTTTCATAAATTCAGGATGACTTGTAAAACTTCAAATCAACAAAAGGGATGTGTTGAAAAGAGTGAATTTCTTTTAAAAAAGAAAATGAAAGATTATTCTCTATTATAACTATGATAAATATTATATTTTTTAAAATTTATTAAATAATTAATGTATTTGTCTTTAAATATAGGTTAAATGCATATTCTATTTAATGAACCTAACAAAAATAATATTTACTTATAATTTTGATAATGTTAGAGAGGGGTCTAGCTAGCATGGTGCTTAATACTCTATAATTGTCAAAAAGTTACATGAGTGCATCGTATCCATATATAGTATCTGGATAGGGGGTACTCAGAGGCTTTTGTAGTTAATGATGGTTATGGTTTGCTCATGGAGGTGATAGACCCTATTTGGTGAAGTTTACAGTGGTAAGAAAGGGGCAGCTCACGTGAGGTGAGAGACTCTGTGCATAAGCGTGATGTTGACGGGATAATTATCTCCTTCCCTCTCCTGTTAGAGAAGAGGTATTTATAGAGTCCCATTAAGCCTAAGGTTCAAGA